ACTCCATCTTCACAATGGTCTTGTTCAACTGAAGCCAGTGTGTGGATGTCTAAGAAGCACCTACTGTGTGCCCAGCAGTGGCCAGACGACCGTGGAGAGAGGCAGCCAAGAGATGCCCGCTCAGAACAGAGACGCAGGGGGAGGGGGAGGATGGAGGGCTCAGATTCGGTGACCGGGTGACCGGAGTCGAAGCCAGCTCTGCAGCCTCCCCAGCCGAGCGCTGCTAACGTGAGGCGAGAGCCCGCTCGTGGGGTGGTTGTGAGATGTCCACCTCCTGGCGCACAGGACGCTGGGAGACAGCGCTGACGTCATGCCCCCTCGGCCGGGCCTTGTTCTGGTGGCTCAGTTAATTCCCCGAGGCCTTGCAGAGTGCTCCAGGAACCTGGCCACGCTCACAGGCCCGTGGGCGGCAGTCAGGCTACGAGCTCCAGCAGCAGCTCGGACGGGAAGCCAGCACTGGAGCAGGAGCTGAGCTGGACTGGAAGGTGGGAGGGCCCCCCAGAGGGAGCGCACACACGAGCAAGGGTTCAGCCGCGGGCACTGGCCTTCAAGGGCAAACTCCATTGTCTCCAGAGAGATGGTGCCTCGCCCCAGGCTCTCCAGGCCCTGCCAGGGGCACCCTGACTCCTGTTCCTCCGAGCCCTCCCTCCAGAAAAGGCCTGGACCTGCTCTCATCGCAGGCAGAGGGCCATCTTGACCTCAGGACCTCGGCTCTCCAGCCTGGAACCCTCTGATACTGTCCCCCACCTTCTGCCTCATCCCCACTTCCACCCCACACCTTGTTGGGAGTTCTCTAGCTCAGAGATTTGAAGTCAGATCAGCCTAGGCCAGTGGTCGGCAAACTGTGGCTCGCGAGCCACATGTGGCTCTTTGGCCCCTTGAGTGTGGCTCTTCCTAAGCCTGAGGAGTACCCCAATTAAGTAAATAACAATGCACCTACCTATATAGTTTAAGTTTAAAAAATTTGGCTCTCAAAAGAAATTTCAATCGTTGTACTGTTGATATTTGGCTCTGTTGACTAAGGAGTTTGCCGACCACTGGTCAGCTGTTTGCCCTGGATTCCGCCATCTACTGAAATGTGCCTTTGGGCAAGTCCCCTGACTTTGCCGAGACTCTGTCTCAACTGTAGGATGAGACAAGAACACCCACCTCACAGGAGAACCTGCGAAACCCAGCCCTGCGCATGCTCCCTGAGGCCTCAGTGGCTGGGAGCTACGTAACATCGGGCACACCCCAGGCTTCGGGCGTCCCCCTCACCTCGTAGATGTTGAACTGGCTCTGCCCGCGGGCCAGCTCCCGGTAGCTGGTGGTGAACTCCCCGATGAAGTCGTGGCTGCAAAGGAAGGCTCTGCTGAGACCCGTGCCCACCCCACCTCTTGCGTGCCCCCGGGCTCTCCATCCCGCCCAGGCCTCTTCTCCAGGGCGCATGCCAGCTGGGAGGCTGGGTCCCTGGGGAGGAGTCCAGTGTCACCCATGGAGCCAACACCCAACCGTCAAGGAGCAGAGGGCAGGGCCCCAGAGGACGGGACCCATTTCTACTTAGATTCCTGTTTGAACAAACCAGCAACAAACGGTATTTGGGTGACAAGTAGGGAAATGTGAATAGGAAATGAATATTAGAAGGTACTCAAGACTTCCTGTTCAAAGTGTCAGGTGTGATAATGTCATTCATAGTTACGTAGGAAATGCCCTCATTTTTTAAGACATTCCCAATGAGATACTCAGAGATAAAAATGCCGTGATGTCTAGAATTTAAATTTCATCAACAAAACACAAATGAAGCAAACATGGCAACGTGTCACACTTGTTAGATTCAGGTGATAGGCTTAACAGTGTTCATTAAGCTCTTCTCCAGTTTTCTGTAGCTTTGTCACTTCTCCAATAACTCTTGGTGAAAGGACATTTAGCCCTCTGTCCATGGAGGCCCTGGCGGTGTTTTCTGCAGTGTCTGCACCGTTAGGGGCCCTGTGTGGGCGTTTATATTAAGTGCAGCAAAACCTCGTACAAAGCGGAACTGCGCCCCCCGCTGTGGCTGGCTCCCTTTGACCTTCACGTGCTGGCCTGGGCTGCCTCTGGAGAGTGATGCCAGGGAGGGGCCCCGCCCCGC